ACATGCTCCTGTTCAGTGGTAATAACTTTAGGACAGTACAATTCAGGAGGCTTTCCCTGTACAACACTTCTTTGAAAGTGTTAGTCAGGATGTCTGGTTACCTACTTTCATAGCTCCATGCAATGTTTAACTCCAAAGAGCAAAAATTATGAGTTCTGAATATTGCCACTGGTAGAAAGACCTCTTCTCCAGTAAATTCATCTATTCCATCATGCAAACTTGTTTCTCTTTGAACTAAGTTTCCACATTTTTATTTACAGTAGTATTAGGAAAGGATGCCAATTTCAATTCACTGAGAATTTTCCAGAGTGAGAATATGAAACTTGGGTATCTGCAGATGAGAAAGAAGCTATGGATTATTAATTTTAAGAATTGAAATTACTCTTCCAAGAAAACACAGCCTCTCTTCTAAGGGAATAAGGGCATGCCTTTCCATGGAGGGAGTTTAGGTCCCGAAAAGACCACAGTGAGGGTCATTCATTTGTCTCTCCAGGAATGTCTTATTACAGAAGCAAATATAGTCCCTGGGAAAAGTGAAGCTCACTGATCAATCAGGGCTAGTGAAATGTCTCACAGCCCAGGAGCTCGTGATTGTGAAGTGAACATATTAGCACAGGTGGCTGGTTGGGTAGCATGTCGACTCGTGAAGCAGGAATAAGGCAATGGTGCCAAGGCCTGCTGGGTGCAGGGCTGTGGGTTTTACAGTTTCTCGTGGTCTAGCTTCCCAAGGCTGAGCGAGATGCCTTCCACCTGACTCCCTGGCACCTAGGTCTGCATCGATCCCTTCTCTCTGCCTTTATATACAATGCCCCATATCCTCTTTGGATATGGGGTATTGTATATAACATATAACATATCTTTGGATATGGGGTATTGTATATAACATATAACATATCTTTGCATTGATTCACTTAGGAGTATTGTCTTAACTCCAGAGGCCTTGCCCCCGATCTAGCGGCTGGCCTCTCCTGGGTGTCAATGAGTGAATGCACTAGGAGTGACTGAATGAGGGGACAAGAGTCTGATTGGCTTGGGCTGGGAGAGGAGGGGGGTGTGGCCCAGGGAGCTGTTCCAGTTCAGGTAGTTCACCTGAATGCCAAGGGAGGGGAAGAAAGGGCTCCGAGGGCAAGGGCAAACTTTGCAAATGCAGGAATTTTGCCCAGTGTCTGAGAGTAGGTATATTGTTTTATTAAAATAAACTTTTTACAGTAAAGTGTTTGAGTAGGGTAAATTTTTTTTTTAATATGTAGCTCATTGTCTACTCTGACATTCTTATTCTTGGTCCATGGTCTACATTGGTCCTTCCCGCACCCCCCCCCTCCGCCCCATTCCCTACACTGTAGCCAATTGCACTGCCCCTGTTCCTCACATGCACCTTGTGCAGTAATCTGAGGGCTACGAAGAGGGCAGGGACTCTAGGTGACATAGTCCCAGGTTCAGGTCTTGTGTCCCTACCTGCTACCTCTGGATCCCCAGAGCAAATTACTTTGCTACTCTGAGTTTCATTTTTTTCATCTAACAAGATACCTCTTGGAGCCTTGGTTTTCTTATTGTTAATGAAATATGCTTATGTGGTCATGATAAAGACTAGATGATGTATGATCTGTAAAGCCCCAGTCTGAATTTGGCAGGTCGGAGGCAGCCAGGAAGCACAGGTGCGTCCCCCCAACCCCTTTCATCCCTCTCGCTTGGAGGGTCAGCCCTTCCACCTTTCTTTACCAATTTATCCTGTATTTCCTAATCTTTTAAGGCCAAGTTCAAAGACTATAAAATCTCTCCACAAAATCTCTTTCCCTTGCTCATCGAAGCCACCTTTCCTCCTCCTGTCATCAATCCACATCTTCTGGACACCTACAGGACTTACCACTTTTTCTTGGCACCTCAAGGATAGCTGTGTGCTATTTCTCTCCCTGGTCTGAAAGCCCCACGGGAGCTAATCTCCCACCTTTTAGTCTTATTTCCCTAAAGCGCCTACAGAGTAACTTGTACACAGTAGGTGCTTAAAAATAATGAACAAAATATGTGCAGGACAATGCTGTATTTTTGGAAATCATTGCCCAATTCCTCTTTGGATATGGGGTATTGTATATAACATATCTTTGCATTGATTCACTTAGGGAGTTAAAAGAGAGAGAGAGAGAGAGAGAGAGAGAGAGAGATATTGATTCATCCCAAGTAGCTGGCCTCACACAACGTCCAGAATATTATACATAGTGACTAGTCACATAAGCAATCATAATAAAGTCCTGCTCAAGGGTTAGTTACAGCTATGAAATTGTGAAAATGCCTGGCTGGAGGGCAGTATTTCCCAAAGGCTAGATAGTTTACAGTAATTGCCCCCAACTTCTTCCTTTTTATTACACTTTCTTAAATTGCACAGCATGCAAATGACATCTATCAGAGTTATTCTTACTGTTTTTCAAAGAGAGGAGAAGGGCCCTTAAGAATATGAATAAGTCATGCCTGGAAATTGCCAGATTTGAAGTTACTGAGTTTAGTCTTTTTTTTTTTTCCCAGTATTGGGGATGGAGCTGGGGCCTCACACATTCTAGGCAAATGCTCTACTGCCAAGCTACACACTTTTATTTTATATTGACACAGGATCTTGCTAAGTTGCCTGGGCTAGCCTCTAATGTGGGATCTTCCTGTTTCAGCCTCCTAAGTGGCTGGCATCACAGGTGTGCCCACTGTTCCTGGTTGGCTCCGAGTCTTTTTGAAGGAATCCCAGGATTAGGGTTAAGCCAGACTTGGCTTTTAGGGAATCAGCTGCCCAAGGATATGATTCAAGGTGGTTAAACACTTTTCTGAAATTTTATTTTCACTGGTACCTGAGAGGGATTGCTATGTGTTAGGAAGACTTTTTAATCTTTCAGAAGTTCCTATTTCAGGAGAAGGATTAACCTTAGCCAGCACTGTCCTTGGTCCCATGAGAAGCTCCTTGTTACAGTTCTCAGATCAAAGAAGTCTGGGAAATCTTGTGTGTTCCTTCCGCCTTAGGATGTGCTATAAGCTGCTGTGTATAGCAGCATATTGAAGCTCCAAGAAATCACGTGGGAAAGAAATCTATTTAACTCAGAAGCTTTCCAACTTATTTAACTAGGAAGTTAATTTATTTTTGGTTGTTGCAAAATAACTGGTAACATCATATGAAGCTTGCATTCATAGAAGCGCATTCTAAAATTCTGCCTTAGCTATATAAGTTGTGACCGTAATGGGGATGAATGTTCACCTATGATGGGACCCAGTGGGATATGCACAAGGGGACAGGAAAGTCAAGAAGGATAGTGAATGTTAAAGCCAACCTATGAGGCCCCAAACACAATCTGACAGTTCTGCTAAGGACCTTGGTTCACATTCCAGGTATTAATTTGATTTGCTTTCCTGCTTCAGAAGCCCAATCGTTATTACGTGCTATCATCAGGTTGGAAGTGCCACATTTGCCTCTCCACGTGATCTTGAACTGTCTAGGGCAGGGAGGAGAGAGGAAGGGAGAACTTGGACAGTGACATTTGCTCAGAGGATGTGAAAAAAAGGAAGGAAAGGAACAGAATAAGGAAGAAAGGGACACTGAGGTGACCAGGAGACAAAGGCATATTGGCAATAGGAGTTGAGGGTGGAGGGCAGTGGGCAAGGTGGTATAAAGAAGTACAGTGAAGATATGTGATGGGCCAGGTAAAAGTTAGCAAACCCTTCTCCCCAAACCAGGAATAAAATAATAACTGGTCCAGGATCCTTCCTTTAAAGATATGCAGTGTCCTTTCTGTCCCCTTGTGGTATAGGATGCTTATTCCTGCAGGTAGCATTCTGCCCTTGGACTTTTCACTATCCAAGGGATTACATTTCCCCCACGAGGTTGAGAGGGCCCAGTTTGAGATCCTAATAGTGGCCTGCTGCTTTGAAAAGCTTCGCAGTGGTTAATTTAAAGCACGGGATAGTAATGGAGAAGGGACCAGGTGTTGTGCAGAAGCCAGAGTGCGGTGGGGCTGAGAAGTGGCTTCCTCTTACCCAGGGCTGTCAGATGATTCACTTCTTACATGCAAAGCAACTAGGAGACCTTTGGCAAGCTAAGGCAACTTAGAAATATTGGAAACTGAAAGCAAGATATGCAACACATTTGGGAATTTCTCTCTCATGTTGAAAGATAAAATTAGCTGATTCCCATACCAGGGTGCCCTTTGATTTATTGTTAGTGTAAAAGTCATGTAAAGACCTCAAATGTTTTCATCACTTATGAATACTACCGGGGAGAAGTCCATAAAACAACTCCTTTTACAAGAATTTAAAAATTTCGAACTGCTGTTCCATGTTGAACTTAATTCAGAAAAAAACGATTCTGCTTGGAACAATGCTGTCCTCTGGGGGTACTGCCTGGAATCCATTACCAAATACATTTAAAAATAAATCTGAGGAACAATGGCTCAAATGATATGCTCAATCTCACAGAGTTATGTCCCCGTAGAGAAAATTCCACTGGCCAGAATGGTGTCCCTGGCCTCCAAGACTAAAGTTCTTGTCTGAGTCTGAGGACATGAGCCTTCTGCACCAGAACTGAGTTTCAAGCAGGTTTGGGATGTTGAGTTACTTTGGATCTCTCATTACTTTGCATAAATCAGAAACCCATCAGAACATAACCCCTCTCTGAAATCAAGGGCATATAAGATGAGTGTTTCTAATCAGTGCTGTGAATGTGTGAGTGCTTACTTGTATTTTAAACTGCCGACACCATTTCTCTGAGTGTGTTACACAACTGGATGGTTTGGATTGTTTGAATGGAATAACATGATTACCCATGGTATTGCACGTCTCCAATTCCAAATAAATACAATGGCAAAAACTAGACAAAAGTGCAGAACAAATAATAAATCACACAATGTCACTGAAGTCATGCAAAAAGGAAAAAAGAAAGATTTAAGAAATGGGCAAGCAACGGACACAATAAATGAAAAGAAAAGAAAAAGGAAAGAAAGAGCCAATGCATACAATTCTAAAATCATTCTTACCTTCTTCAGTCATTGTGTCATAATATTTTAGTTTTCCATATGATCCAAGTTCTACAATATCACAGTAAAAGACACAAAGATAAGGAACGAGCTATAATGCAAGAACTTTGTTTTTACACATTCTTAATTAATCAGATTCAGAGTTACACTGTCAGATTCTGCGATCGTAACTATATGGAGATGTGCAAACATGGGCCATGTGGCAGACAGCTTTCACAGCCCATTTTCAGAAATCACTTAAAATATATTATTCTACAGAGGGTAGGATGTGCCCTGCATTACAGAATATGTTAACATCCAATGAAACAGAATACTTGGCACAGATACTTCACCCCGGCCAAGTCTAGCTCTATGATTTTTATAGAGGTGACCCTCCAGCAAAAAAGAAGGATTGGACGAGGACAATGTCCAGGTCCATGAAAGCTTGTGGACCCTGGTATTTCTTGCCCTGGTTCAGCAGCCCCAGGAGTTCATTGCACAGTTTTTCTCCAACAGAAGTGCTTCCTAGAGAATAAGAAAGCTACCTGGGAGAATCCAAAATGAAAAACCAGGTTTTAAACTTTCCTTTAACTTCTTAAACTTCAGGCAGAAAACTCTGCTGTGTGCAAAGCATGCTGGGAAGAGCTGTTTCTGGTGTTGAGTGCTTCTGAGAGGGAGCAAGAGTGAGGCATACTCCCAGGGAACACTGCCCGTTGCAGACAGGTGACAGATCAAGGCGTCATCGCCTGCTGGCCTGCCGTGGTGTGAACAGTAGGGATGGGTGGACCCACAGCCCCTCTTCTGTATGCAGGGCACCACTGGATTAGCCTGGAAGGGAAACCACTGGCAGACAGTTCGTTCCCAGTCAGCTGGTGGTGTGGCCGGTGGGATGGGGGGAGACGAAAGGAGGGAATGCATCACTTCTTTTTTCTTACTTTGGTTTTAAAATAGAAACTTTATTCTTGCTTGTCTGAAAATCCCAGATTCTTCTAAGCAACACTGTGAGAAGGTTAAATGTATTTTTCTTGGTCATGACAACACTCTCCCAATAAACTTCAAGAAATTAATTAGACTCAAGAGATATTCCCGTGATTCTGCAGAATGCTCTATGGCCCATTAACTTGGGCAGCTGTTGGAGATCCACATATGAATCAATTTCTAATCAATGGGTTTGTGTACAAGAGAAAAGATCTAGCTTTAAATGCAACAATAAATATTCTTGGATTATTATATTATACATTTTCCATGTATTCCTTTTCACATGCCTAAAATTTTATCTAAAGCTATTTTGATATACCAGTACCAAATTGTGTCTTGGGGAGAAAAATCACCTCATTTTTATGTTCTGCAAAAATCTGCCTATTTTGACTTTTATTGGAAATACTTTGAGTTCTCCCTCCCAGAACCTTAAAAAAAATGCAGGTTCTTCAATAAGAAAATGAATTTTGTGTAAATAAGAAAATATTTTATGACTTCTGGGAATTGCCTTCAGAGGGATATATATATATATATATATATATATATATATATATATATTTTTTTTTTTTTCTGGTATTTTAGAAACAATAGTCTATTATACATTCAACATTGCACAAGTTTGGAATTCTCAAATGATCTAAATACCTTCATAAATATTAAACATATTCATAGTGGCTTCACAGATAATAGATGTGGTTGTGTGTATGTGTGTAATCTTGTAGTAAGTTGATGAATTATATCATCCAACTAATTTTTTGTAGCCTTTCTTCCTTCTCCCAGGTAAAATACTGAAATAAGCAGCTGGCATTCATGATTATTTGCTCAGGAAACAGAACCTGGGTGGTTTTGTGTTTGCAAAGTTGGCTGTAAACCATATTTTGTACGGTGACGAAATTCCATTGCATTTTTATGGATCCATATTTTTGATGCAAACCTCTCTGTATGTGCACACCTGTTTTCATGTATCAGTTCCAAATTGTCACACCTCGATTTGTGGCAGATGATACTATTCTCAGTTTCATCTCTTGTGGAACCAGGTATACATCAATAAATACAAACATATTATTTAATCATCACTATATATTTATATTTATAGTCAGAATGTGAAACTGTTCCTGTCTGATAAAATGCATACATTCTTGCCACGGTGGCAATATCTAGATTGATAGCTGCTTCCTTAGATGATGACAGAGGGACAGGAACTGGGCACAACATACCACAAATGAGGCTAACAATGGTGGAATAAGAGTAGTGAAAAGCTGCAGAACAACAGTGGTAGGTGGACAACTCAAAGCACCGGGAGGCAGGAGTCGAGGGAGCAGTTTCTGCCTGAGAGAAGGAAATGGTGTTTGTAGCTTAGGAAGGAAAAGGCAGTAAAGGTTGGAGGAGGAAACCAGCCTGTTGGAAAACAGTCTTTCACACTGGATGGTGAGATGGGGAGCAGCAGCCTCATGCGGAACAGGCAGGCAGCCCTATTTCCTGAACCAGGCCTTGAGAGGCGCAGGCTGAGGAGTGTGACATGCGACCAGGACAAACACAACATGCACGCATAAGCCAGAGCTCATCACGCACCTGGCTGTTGCCCTACAGCCCAGGATGCCTCATGAAGAGTGGCCAATAGCCACTACTGACAGCCTGTGGCCAGGCCTAGCCAGGCTGAGAGGAGCTGGAAGGAATGAACAGACTCACCTGTGCAGGAACGTGGCTTCTCATCAGCACGCTCCCCATAATGAAAAGCCAAGGCACCTTCAACTTATTTGGATTAGGATTCAAACTGGGCCTGATCCCAGCTGAGTTTCTTTAGGGTAGAAGGGAGGAGGTTCAAGAGGGTGTTGCTTAATCCCATGTAGTAACGTTCATTGTATCAATGGAGCAAGAGGCAATGAGGATTGGAAGAGTCATGTGGCTCACCTGTCCTATCATTCTGGTCCCATCTGGTACCTCTTCTCTATAAACATTTCTTTAAGAAGGCCACATGGCCTGAAAAAAATCATTACAGAACCCAGTGGCTGATGTTTGAGTTGAGCCTATAATCGGATCATGTACTTGCTTTCAGGCCCTCTGGGGACACAGGTGTCCAAGCTCTTGCATCTTTGAGGTATGAACCTTTACTAATCCACTTTCTTCCAATCTTGCCAGAATCTAACTACCAGGATGTAAGGTACCTGTGACTTCTTGTCTACACTTTACGATTGCCAAAATCAAAGTAAAAGTTTTGCCATCAGTCTTAAAGAATGTGTGAATTAGAATTAGCATTTCTGGCTCCTAACTTCCTCCCTTTTTGAGAAGTACACAGACATAGCTCTCCCAACATTGTAGTTCTTAGCTTTACTTTTGAGGCTTCTGGCATTCTTGACCCTTACCCCACCATAAATCCCAGAACAGGGAACAGTAGAAAAATGACTTCTTACATTTGAGAACTTGAAAGTTGATATATAAAATGGAAAGTCAATGGAAGGACCTATGCTAATTCATTTTATATGAAAGAAATCAATGAGAGCAAGTATTTATTATTTAAGTATTAGATGATGGGAAAAATAAGGATTGCTTAATTTTTTTCAAAGATCTAGTTTCTTTTTGGTCTTGGTCTGACCTATGTACAAAGACCTAAAAATTAAGGCTTTCTCAGCACAGACTGTAGTTTCTTGGTAAAACCCTCTTATACGGTGTGTACAACTACTGGATCACACCAGATTCATGGAGGATTATTTTCACTAGTACATGGAAGTTAGAATATGAATTCAGGAGTGTAGGTCTGGACCTAAGATCTGCCACATATGAGATGTGTGGCTTTGAGCAAATGGCTTCACCTCTCTGAACCTTAGAATACTCAGCTCCAAAGGGACTTGATTGTTTTCACCCTAAGACAGCTGTGAAGTCTAGATGAGATGAGGACACACACAACTATCGATTGACATGGCAGCTATCATATTACAAGCATCACAGGAAGAGCGAAGGAGAATCCAGGGGATATGGAGCAGGGCATTTCAGGGGCTTCACATATTGTACACTCTTTTAAAAACAAATCTAACACTCCTTATAGAGGTTTAAAATAGGAATTGTGGCTCAACAAGGAAAGATATCCCACAATGTCAGGGCCAGTATTTAAAAAAGGTCTCTTCATGAATTCTGCTTGCTACTTTCAGATCTAAGGAACTTAAATATGGACTATCCCTGGGTAGCAGATGTGGACCCTCCACTTCTGGAATCATCAGTGTTCCTACTTTTTCTTTTAATGTTTGCATGGGAGCCTGTCTCTCCCACAAGTTGTCCCTATGTTGGAGGTGGAGAGACTCTATTCCTCCTTAGATGGGTCCCAGCAGAACACAGAAAGGTGCTTTTCTCACACTATACACTCTGCTTACATTTCTTAAATAAGGTGTACAAATGGACACTTCAAATGGCAGTGCAGCTCAGGGGGCTTTGGTTTGTTGATCTTCCCCAGATTTGCCGAAGTCAAGAAGGGCTGGCACTGATGTGGCTCTTCCTCTGTGGCTACCGGGGCATTACTATACAACTAGAGTGAGTCTGAGTGACACTGAGCAGACAGCTAATGCAAAGGCTCTACTACTCAGGATCTGGGTGACCTCTTTGAACCTGTGTCTTCTGTAAAATGAGGAAAAGAGCAATGACTTTGAGACATGTCTATGGGGTGGTGCCAGCATCTTTAATAATAGGACCCCTCTTCATTAGGTCCTTTGAACATCTAGTGCAAGCTGGTTAAATCCTATTCAGTGATTTTTTTTAAAACTTAAAAAAAAAAAACACACACACACACCTTAAGAGATGGAGGTTAAATGAGGAAACCACCAAGAATCCTTACTTCTTTCACAAGTTGGAAGGAAAGGAATATTTTAACCTTCAAATTCTAAACCTCACTCAAAAAAGCTTTCAAAGTACTGACTCATTGCAGAAGCTCTTCTTAACATTCTGCGGGGGATCGATGTTCGAGCACTGAACTTCCTTAAGAGGCTCTTAAATGTGTACACGACTGCCTGGGGACAGCTGCTCTCAATATGTGGCACATATATGTCATACGCGAGGTGTTAACAGAGATGATTTTGTCCTATGGTGTTCTTCTCACATCTGACTCT